CATCTTCAGAGTGCAGGAGCACAGACAGGAGCAGTTCTCTCTGTGCCACAGAGAAACAAAACTTCCAGAACATGGCCACACAGCCCGGAAGACCCACACCAGCCAAAGAGAATGTTGTTAGATGATTATATAAACCATATAAAGCCTGAAGCTTTATATGACTTAGATTATGGCTAACTGAAGATATCAAAGCAATTGCAGATACATATAATAGTGAATTATATTTTCACATAATAGGGGATTAAATATACATATGTCATAAGAAGATTTCAATAGCTAAAAAGAATGGTTCCCAAGACTATGATTTTGTTGATTAATATTCCTCTAGAAGTCAAGAAACCAAGATTAAAAATAAGATATACAATATACATTCATTGTATATGACAAGGGACCAAATCTCAAACCAAACTGAATTAGCACTGACAAATTTACATGATCTAACCATAGGTTTAGTAGTATTCTAGAAAAAAAAATCTGGCAAGTGTTCTAGGAAAGCTGCGGGCTGATATTAAATATGGGGCTATAAATTTTTCCTGTTTCAAAGGAATCAGGTGAAAACAGAGGCTGCATTAATGAGAAGGTGCTCATCCCTGTCAGTTGTGTCTGTTCCCCAAAGAAAGCAGGCCCAGATAGTGAGCAAAGGACACCATTCAATGAGCTGATACAGATTATACCCAGGCAAACACAGGAGATGTTCTTGGTTCACCTAGATGGGGAGACCAACTTAGTTCAAGGCAGACAGACTGTTGCAACTGGAAGGCAGAGATCCGACCTAAACCCACTATGTGTTTTCCTCTTGCTCAGGTCACAGAAAACTGTACCCTTCTGAAGGAAAAATATGATTCGTTTTCCACAAAGGTAAAACTGATGTCATTCATTCTTCTCACAAAATGAAAAGTCTCACAATGTTCTTCAGATGAATATGTTGTCTCCAATACACATGACTATAAAAATGCAAATAACATCAGCCACTCTAGGAGTATGGGGGGATTAAAGGGGAGTGAACCACACTAATAACTTGCTATCGTTTTTCAACACTAGTGATAAGGACAAAGGTCACATTTGATTGAAAATGCATGAATGAACTGAAACTCATCTATTGTCCATGCTTTCTCAAGTTTGCAATGTAGTTTGCCAATTAAAAAAATCTATCAGAGAAAAGCCTGCAGAAAATTAATGGACAAATCAATTAATTAATGTACCTGTTTAATGTATAAATATATTGAAGAAAATTAATTGCTAAGCTTATGCACATTTATCAAAATTCTAAACAAAAATATGTTTGGAGAAATGTATATCTAATGCATATACATTTTATTATGAATATCATTAGAACTGCTCAAGATGGTATGGAAATGGACTGGCTGAATTCATCAATGGAAAAATGCAAAGCAGAAAAACTGAAACTGACAGAACTGTACAATGAGATACTAAATAATCAAAATTGACAAATTCATATATCCTTATTCACTATGCATCATACTAAAGTATTGACATAACTGGTTTTGTGGAAAGAGAATTTAATTTCCTTTCCCAAGCTGTTGTGGAGTGAAAATTGTATGAGTCACTTTATTTATTGATCAAATTTATATGCCGCCTAGAGTCACTTATAAAGTGAGATGGGCGGTGTATAAATTCGATCAATCAATCAATCAATAAAATTGGCAATGCAGGTTCTTACAGTTTTGAGGCAGAAAGAACACAAAAATTGTAGCGTAAGCCTTGAAATAGGTTTCACATAACATTAAACAAAATCAATATCTCTTCTTACAAACTCAAGAAAGTATCATGAAGTCCTGTTCCTACACATGAGCTTGATATAATCAGAAGCATCTGTAACACACTGAGATTGCATCAAAATGATGAAATATGCATTGTGACATGGAAGGGGAGGAATTGTCTCTGACTTTGATCAATACCAAGTGGATGTGGGTATTAGGGCCACCTAGTCCTGGGGAAAATCAATCTATAGCCTTGGATGGAGTTACACTTCCCCATTCAAGGGTGCTGCACATTCTGGGGATCTTCTTGGACTCACAGCTCCTGCCCAATGAGCAAGTGGCAGCTGTGGCCAAGAAGGCCTTTGCACAGCTTCATCTGGTCCATCAGTTACATCCCTTCCTGGTTTGGGAGGCCTTTCAGACAGTCATTCTAGTCACAAGCATTCATTGTTCCCCCAGTGTTCAGAAGCTTCAGCTGGTCCAGAATGCAGCAGTACAGGCAGTTATGAGCATTCCTTGGTATTCCCATCACTCCCCCTGCTTGCCAAGCTGCACCGGCTGCCAGTTTTCTTCTGAGTGCGCCTCAAGGTGCTTGTTACCACCTATAAAGCCCTACATGGCATAGGGCCTGGTTATCTGAGGGACCACCTATCTCCTGTGTTCATAGGGTTGGTGTGTTCCAGGTCCCTTCAATCAAACAGGGTCATCTATTGGGACCCAGGAAGTGCACCTTCTCTGTCATGACACACTTGCCCTCTGGAATGAGGTTCCCCCTGAGATCTGGGTGGCTCCTACCCTGATGGTATTCCAAAGGGCCTTAAACACCTGGCTGTTCTCCTTGGCCCTGGATTGGGGTGGCTGGAGCCCCTAGTGGGAGGTGTTTGTATATGTTTTTGTGTTGGCCAGATTTGCCATCTTGTTTTTGTTCTTTTTCTATCTTGTACTTTTTAAATTGTATTGCCCTTTATTTAGTTTGTTACATTATGAGCCACCCAGAAATGCTCTGGAGTTGGACGGTGCCTCCATTGAAAAAATAATCATAATCATAAAGCAGACTCTGCCCTTACGTACTTGAGTTCTGCTATCTGCCACAAGGAAATAAGTGGTAGCATTTGCATCATGATGTCATGACACACTTTTCCTCACTTGCTTGTTGCTTCCCTTGTGGAAGCCTACGGAGGTATTTCCACACTGTTTGCCTCATTCACCTGCCCACCGCACCTTTCCAGAAACTGCTGCTCTGGACCACCATAAGGCAGGCTGCCTTTGCATTAGATCAGTGCAATCAAAGAAGAACTCTACTGTATATTCACAAATTGTAAAATTCAGTATTTCCCCCCTCCAATATGCTCTTTGCTCCCCATTCTTCATATATTAGGAATACCTCATTAAGGAAGGAAATTTGAGCAAAGGAGCTGTTGAGATGATTGGCGACTTCCTGAATGAAGAAGCTGGATTTCATTACTCATTTCTGTTTTCTGTCATGGGTCATTTAATCTTCTCAAAAGACAGGTAAAGAATGAGATGGGGGGGG